GTCGACACTCGACACGGTCAACAACCTAGGCCTTCTCTACGCGGCCCAAGGCAGGCTGGGGGAGGCGGAGAAGATGTATGACCAGGCGCTGCGAGGCTATGAGGCACTCGGTAGTGTTCGCGTCCAGCAGTACCTGCCAGCACTCAACACCTTACAGAACATGGGTGATCTCTATGCGAAGCGAGCAGAGAGTGCCAAAGCTCGAGCGATGTACACAAGAGCTCTTTCTGGGCTGACGAGTGTGCTCGGTGCGTCGAGCGAGAGGTGCATGGGCTTATCCGCGAAGATAGACGCTTTTCCGAGTGCTAGTAGAGAGGAGGGAGGACAGTTGAAACTTCCAACAGTGGGAGAGAGGCCTGCACCACAGCACGACCGAAGGAAGAAGAGCTCAGGACTATCGATACGGAGGCTTGTGAGGAAGATGTATCAATAGCGCATTCTTCTTCTATCGCTTTATCTACATCAAAGCTGAGCTTTAATTGTTAGATCTAACACTTATCTTCTGTTTTCTGTAAAGACTACTTGTGTTTAGAGAACTGTACCGTACGCTGCAAGATGCTTACTAATGCTTGTAAGAAACAAGTCTAGCAGTTTTCGTAGTCAAGCAGCGAGAGGTCGTGCTAGGCAGAGCTAGAGCGATTGAGGAAAGGCTTGCATTAAGCGAGACAGGGGTGAGCGTGGGATGACAGTTAAGCGGCGTGTGCAAAGCGGAAGCTGCAAGTGCATGGGAGTGTATGCAGAGGCACTAGCTAACAACTAAGGCCACGTGTTTTGTCAAGCCTGTATTCTCCGGTGGGCTAGATTGAACTCAGATTCGTATGAGACCAACTTGGCTTGTCCGAGCTGTAGAGATAGCAGGACCAAGCTGTGGCGGCTGTCAACACACGATCATGTTGTGATGCCTGCACAGCGAGGTGTGGAGATTGCGTCGCCATGTAGCAGTTCATAGATGTGTGCCCAGATGACTCTGCTTTCGTATCTGCAGCTCCTATAATAATTTATATGGCAAGCGCTGCTTCTACAATGTGAAATATTTTGCAGAGACTAATCTCTTTGTAGTAGAGAAGTGTAGCATGGACTGATGTCTAGTAATTAGAAGAGTGACATCTGACCAAACCATGTTGGCTTTTGTAAACAAGCGTATGATCGACTGGGCACTCTATTTTCTGTCGCTTCTACAGTCCCAGTATGAAGCAGATATACACACGGTTACTTATCTGTGCTATTAGGTTTGTAGGCAAACTACTCTTAGTATCGCCCATGGGTGGATCACTACGGCATTCAGACGCATACATAGTCTTGAATACATCTTGTCATTGGTACGCCACTTTCGAATGACACTCTACAGTGTACAGTTCAAAACCTCTGTCGGAACATTCCAAACTAGACTAAGCTTAGCAATAGACAGGCGGTATTATGACCTCTACTGCACGCCTCACTTAGCGCTTACTTCAACCCATTTCTCAGTACTGCATTCAATAAACAACACCTGCACTGACATCTATCTGCGTCAGCTCAGCAAGCTTAAATTCGTCGAAGAAAAGGCCTTTCCATGGTTCTGTGAGCCATTGATCGCATTCGTACTACGCTACAACATGCATACAATATACGTTTTCCTAGCAGTGTTGGCGGTCGCGACTCGAGCCCACATGTCGCTGTGGTATCCGCCTCCTCTAGGTGGCAGTCTGCAAGCAAACCCCTTGACAACACAGGTGGACAACGAACTCAACTTTCCCATCGGATGCTGTGATTCTGACGGCAGGCCAACACTACCCTCTCCTGGAGACTGTCGTGGCCATCTCAATCTTCTGAACACAGAAGAAGGCCGTCCGCAGGTAACATGGGAACCAGGCCAGGACGCATACTTCCAGCTGTCTGATCACACGTACACCGTTGATGCTCCAGGATCGACGCACTATGGCGGAAGCTGTCAGATCGGCTTCTCCGTGGACAGAGGCCAGACCTGGAAAGTCGCAGCTTCGTACCATGGGAACTGCCCCCACCGGCAGGAGGATGATCCCCAGGTCTTCCACTTCAAGGTTCCTCTGAACATGCCAAGCGGGCCAGCTGTCTTTGCTTGGATCTGGCTGAATCGAGAGCACGAGTCTTTCATGAACTGTGCCTCAGTCCAGATCGGTGCAGGCTCTAGCAGGAACACTACACCCACGAATCCGAGTAGTACGGCTGATTCGATCATGTACTACACTCCACTTCCAACTCCTACGGGTGAAGCTCCGACAGAAGAAGAACGACACGGGTCTGATGGTTGCGATCAAAACTTGACTAGCCGCAACATTTCGGGTGATTCGGGTATGACTGGAAGTTGGTGGAATCGCATCAAGCATCGCCACAGCAGAAAGCATGCTCGATACTACTACTATGTGCGCAAAACTCATAGACATCTATCGTCTCGAGAGCACCGCCGCAGGCCAGACAGTGTAGCTTCTGACGCTTGCGATTGGAACGCCGCGCCCAGAATGGAAACTAGCTACTACTCCGCGGGCGCCAGCTGCGCTCCTGATGCAAAGCTGGACAACGTAGAGAGCGATGACTTTGAGATTGGCTGGAGCGATGCTTGCGGCATCGTTGAGGGGGATGGAGAGTATACCATTCAGAACGCCGAATGTCAGGCCTAGAGCACAGTGGGTAGCTAATTTGCGTGGATATTGGAGTCGTGAGACTTTATGCTGAAGCGACAGTAATATAAATAGAGGCCAGATTCGGATAGCATGTGTTGGGTTTGGGTCAGACACGCCTGCAAGTAGACGTTCTGCCAACTACTACAAAGACTGCTAATCATTCTCGGCATTTTTGTAATTAGATTGCTTTGTCCGAATGCCTTAATAGTCGAGCTTTCCCAACCTCCCGTCAAGTTTTGACTTAGCTAGTCTGCCAACATCTAATCCAAACAAAATTGCAAACTTAACTGCAAACACGCTCTGCCCAACATGCTCGCGGCGTCTTCCCATTCTTCTCCTCTCCCGCAGGAAGATACGAGCAGTAGTCGCGCAACCCTGATTGTAGTGATAAGGTGCATCCCTGAGTGAGGAGACACACTATGTCGCGAGACAGGTTGGCGATTCGGAGCTTCGGCGCCTCCCATCTGCGGGCTTGTAAAGCCGCTATTAGTCTACTATAATTGTATGGCTGTTGCTCTTTAAGCACGTTAGCGTCCGACATAAATCGCTGCTATGTTAGCTGCGCTGTTGATTGTTTCTTTACTGTCGTTAATCAACTCGTTAGCAATACCCCCCTGTCTATTAGTGACCTTAGGGACCACTGAAGCGCTCGGTAGGTCGCGCAGAGAGTGCGGCGTAGGAAGATTGACTTCCTAGCTTGTTAGATCGCTCTGATATAAGAGCGAGCATGCCGGCAGCTCCGTAGTGCAAAGCAGGAGATCTGTGAAAACGAGCCCGAGCTGGCGGGATACGCTAACATCGCTTAGCATTCATGGGCCTGCATTAGCGTTCTCATCGCCTGCTGTAACTTATCGTAAAGAATACGGCGCTATCCCAGTCTTGTATGCCTCTTAAATAGATGCGGCGCATGCTGCTGGCTTTCTGGAAGCGTCTACGGCTACGCGCGTACACAGCGGTTGTACATGAGGCTGCTCTGTTCCCTGTTTGGAGTTTGCCTGGACGTTCCCCGTCCTTCCTTTCCCATCGCGAACAAGTCCGCCACGATGGACAAGGCCAGCCGTGCTCTAGCGCAACCCGTTCCTCCTAGCTTATCCGACTCATACCGTGCTCGTGCAGATCGTAGCGGAGTCCCTTATACAACCCTCCACCATCGCGCGCGCGGTCGTCGTTCGATCGAAGAAAAGGCCCAAAGCCAGCAGTACCTCGCTCCGTACGAGGAAGACGCTCTCGTCCGTTTTCTCCTACAGTTGTCTGATCTAGGCCAGCCTGTGCGCATCAAGTACATACGCTTCTTAGCTTTCTGCGTCACTGGCCAGCGATCCGAGACCGACCGTCCGCTGAAGCCGCCTGGCAAGAACTGGACTCGGGGCTTTGAGAAACGCCATCCAGAGACACAAGCGAGAAGAGTCAAGGCGCTAGACTGGAGCCGTCACGAGAAGAACACCTATTGGAAGATAACACACTGGTTTGAAGTGATCGGAAGGGTGCTGAAAGACCCAGCCATCTCTAAGGAGAATGTATACAACATGGACGAGACTGGCGTTATGCTATCTATGCTAGGTACGGTCAAAGTCTTAGTAGGTAAGGATGACATGCGAGACTATAGAGGTGCACGTGTCAAACGCACATTAGTCACCGCGATCGAGTGCATCAGTGGTGATGGTAGGTATCTAGATCCCATGATTATCTGGCCAGCTGCCACACACCGGAGCAACTGGACCACCTTCCCCACCCCTGGGTGGCAGTACGCGTGCTCCGACACTGGATACACGGACTCTTACATTAGCCTGCAGTGGCTCCAGCGTATATTTGACCCTGCGACCAAGGAGCGAGCTAGAGGTAAGCCGCGAGTGCTGATCTGCGATGGCTTTGGAACGCATGAAACACTGGAAGTGCTGGAGTTTTGCTTTGCGAACAATATCCTCCTTTGCCGTCTCCCCTCTCACACTTCTCACAAGCTGCAGCCTTGCGACGTTGCTGTGTTTTCTCCTCTCAAGGCAGCCTATCGCGAGCAAGTCGAGCGCCTAGAGCGGGGAGGCGTTAACACCATCGGCAAAGAGCACTTTACTTCACTCTATAGCCCTGCAAGGGAGAAGGCCTTCACTTCTAAGAACATCATAGCTGGCTTTGCTGCAAGTGGTCTGTTTCCGTTCAACCCAGACAGGGTGCTTAGAAGCATGCCAAAACCTCTGGCTGATCTGACGATCCCGAGAGCCGACGAGGTGAATGTTGAGGCTTGCCGCGAGAACGAAGTTCCACAAACACCTGTCACACCGGTGTCAGCAGAGGGCCTTGCGTCGCTTCGAAATCTGATTATCGAGCAGGACGCTGGTGCTCTCGACGAGACAAGCAAACGAAACCTGCAGAGACACCTGCACAAGTTAGCCAAAGCCACGCAGCTGTCTCTTGCAGAGGGGGCCCTCCACAAAAAACACATCTGGTTCTTGCTGACAGTCAACAGCGAAGCCAAGGTGCGACGATCGACCACGTCGCTAGTGCTAGGCAAAGCCAAGGTGATGGGCTACGAGGAGCTTGTGGAAGCGCGAGAGAAGCGTGCTGAGAAAGACGCTGCTCAGAAGTCGAGAGGCAAAGGGAAGCGCGGTGGGAAGCGCAAAAGTGCTGCGGTAGAGGATGCAGCGGAACCAAAGACGAAGGCGAGGCGGGTGATCGAAGAGCCGGAACCAGCGGTAACGCTAGCGACAACGTCGACCGTTGCAGCTGTGGTGGGGATTGAGACTGCATCTGCGCCATGGAGGGCCCCAGTGGCGCGGATGTACTAAGTTAGTGGATTAGGACATGAGATCAAGCTTGTGATAGCCTGAGTAGGACGGCTGTCGTGATCTCGTAGCGGAGCCTCTTGGTACGTCAGGGGAAAGCCGATTGTTCTGCTGTGCTTCTCAAGATCAATAATTGTATGTGCCGCTGTAAGGTTCTTGTTGTCTTGACGCCGCTGTGGCGTCGTCTAATGTGTCTATTGCTATGCCTTTGGTGGCTATTCGCGCGGTTCTTGTGTCTTTCATTGAACGTTGCCATAGCCGAGGCAAGAGGCCTTACTGTACGTCCTTTTAGCATATTGGCTTTATGATTGCTCGACGCGTCTCAGGGGAGCTAACAGTGTATGTCGCAGACTTCAGATAGACAAGGCAGCATGCTGGCATTGAATAATCAAGGGTGGCAGGCTCGAGGATAGGGGAGTCGCGACTGGGTAGGCGGAGGTTGCGTAAACATGGTTTACAGCATGCTGCACATCGATAGCATCTCGTTTTCCGCGTTGATGCTGTTTGCTAGCGTCAGACAAACGCGTCGCTTGAGATGTTCCGGGTTGTTTTTGACGCTGTTGTCGCTGCGCTGCGTTCTAAGCCCCAGGATGATTGGCGGCACAGAGTGTGTCCTTGCACGAACTAGCACGCGCTACACAGACGTCGTAACATCCTCTTTCAGGAAATGACGATCCATAACTCACACTTTTTAAGGTGTTAGATCGCGTCCTCAGGTAATAACTGCTTCTCTGTTTGCAGCACGGTGGCTGTCGCGCGATCATGTGTTGTCAGCCTTGCCCCGCCAGCCTCACGTCACGGCGCGTGCGGGCTGCGCCTCCTGCCCTGGGTGTAGGACACGCAGCCTGCCCCAACAAGACAGTCTACCTCACCTCTACCTTAGCAAATCGTTACTTAGCATTCGAAGCGACCCGATAGCTACGATCTCCACGCCCTACGCGAGCCAGCCGCCGTGCGCCGTCGATTCCGTCAGCCTGCTTCGAGGCTCCAAGACTTCCTCCCACCACTCGCGCACACGGACAAACACACAGCACGATGCGACTGCTATACACTACAGGCGATGGGAGACTTGGGTGGACTGAGGACCTGATCGGAGACAAGATCCCCCCATACGCGATCCTGTCGCACACCTGGAAGGAGGGGCAGGAGGTGACATTTGCCGATCTGAAAGATCTAGACAATGCAGTAGACGTCAACGCACAACACAAGGAAGGATATCGGAAGATCCGCTTCTGCGCGCAACAGGCTAAACGGGATGGTCTGGACTACTTCTGGGTCGACACCTGCTGCATCGACAAGGCAAACAACACGGAATTGTCGAGAGCGATCAACTCCATGTTCCGATGGTACCAGAATGCCAAAAGATGTTATGTCTTCCTTTCGGACGTCGCGAACGACACTTCAGAAATCGATAGCAAGTCGGCGTTGAAGCAGAGCAGGTGGTTTAAGCGGGGCTGGACGCTTCAGGAGCTTCTTGCTCCTCGCTCTGTTGAGTTCTTCTCTGAAGAGGGAGAGCGGCTAGGGGACAAGGAGTCGCTTCAGCACCTTATACACGAGGTTACAGGCATACCTATCGAGGCTCTGTCCGGAAGCGACTTGTCCGAGTTCGACGTTGCCAAGCGTTTCTCGTGGGCAGCGAATCGACAGACAACAGAGGAAGAAGATGGAGCGTATTGTCTGTTCGGCATATTTGGCGTCCACCTACCGCTGATCTATGGCGAAGGCAAAGACAACGCCCTTGAACGGCTGAGAAGCGCGGCTATTCTGAAACATAAGGGCCGCAGTCAAGACCAAGAAGAGAGGATTGGGAAAATACGCAGCTGGCTTTCGGCGCCCGACCCGTCTACCAACTACCACAAAGCGCATAAGCAGCGGCAGGCTGAGACCGGAGTCTGGTTGCTAGAGGGTGAGCAGTTCACAAGATGGAAAGAGCGTGCAGCATCGCGACTGTGGCTGTATGGGATCCCAGGATGTGGAAAGACGATCCTAAGCTCTACCATTATCGAGCATCTGCTGCGGTACTGCCATGATGATACTAGCATGGTGATGACGTACTTCTATTTCGACTTCAACGATACACAGAAGCAGGACCCAGAGCTCATGCTGCGCTCGCTGCTATGCCAGCTCCTCCAAAGTTCGGTCGGGATACTAAAGGGCGTTGATGCGTTGTTCTCATCTTGCGAGAACGGAAAACGACAGCCGCCATTGCATATGCTTCTAGAAGTGACACGGCAGGCGATGCAAGAATTCACCCAGGTCTACGTCATTCTCGACGCACTTGATGAATGTACACAGCGCTCAGAGCTGATGGACATGCTCGAAACGGTGGCTAGATGGCAGCTCGACAACCTACATCTGCTGATGACTAGCCGGAAAGAGCGAGATATCGAGACATGCTTGGAGAGTTACATTAGGGAAGAGGACACTGTGTGTCTCCAGAGGGACGTAGTGGATCAGGATATACAGCGTTACGTTCAACAAAGGCTGCGTGACAAGAAGAGCTTGGCAAAATGGACCAAGGACGCTGCGATTAGCCAAGAGGTCGAGGATGCACTAATGCGAGGGGCTCACGGGATGCACGTGTTCAACCAGTTCTTTACAAAGCCAAAGCTAACAATCATGCAGGTTTCGATGGGCTGTATGCCAGCTGGACACGTTGGCAAAGTGTCGCAACCTAGTGATGCTGCGCAATTCACTCGCCACTTTACCGCAAACGCTAGACCAGACATACGACCGCATCCTCACCGCTATAAGTAAAGAGGACTGCGTGTACGCGGTGCGCATCCTACAGTGGCTAACGTTCTCTGCCCGGCCGCTTTCTGTCACAGAAGTTGCTGAAGTTGTCGCTATCGATGTTGCGCGCGACCTAGCGTTTAACCGCGATGAAGTGCTAGTAGACCCGCTAGAAGCGCTGGACATCTGCTCTAGTCTAGTCACTATTACGAAGAACGAAGAGGACGGAAGGCTAGGGTCTACCCAACAGATCATCGCTCTAGCACACTACTCAGTGCAGGAGTACCTCGTTTCGGACAGAATCAGACAAGGGTCAGCAAAGCAGTACAGCATGCAAGAGGCCGCATGTCAGAGTGCAATAACGAGAGGTTCTTTGAAGTACCTGATGCAGCTCCAGCAACCATTAGAAGAAGAGACACTTCAGGTGTTTGCACTTGCAAGGTACTCAGCAGAGTTCTGGAGCAGCCATCTTCAAAAGACAGGAGACGAGATGGAACAAGTCAGTCCACTAACTATGGGTTTGTTGACCAGGGGAGAGCCTGCATATCTTAACTGGCTCCGGTTGCATGATCCAGACCGTCCTTGGGAGGAGCCAAATCTGGAAAAAAGCGACGATAACATACCTATGCCGCTTTACTACGCCGCATTGTTAGGCTTTAGCACGGTTACAAGACTGCTGCTCGACGCGGGCGCTGAGGTTAACGCGCAGGGTGGAAGGTACAGTAACGCACTGCAGGCAGCTTCATGGGGAGGCCACGAGCA